GTTGCTGATATAGAGTCTTGTGACTTCTCTCAGGAGATCAACTGGCAATAGGAAAGGAGACTGGGCGCCGTTTGGGCATGGGAACCAACATGTATCCTTCATCCGCTTTGTTGGGACAGGACAAGGATGAATCTATAGCTGCCTTGCCAGTTGATGAACTAATAGAGAAAGCTGATGGCTTTGCTGGTGTTTTCCCTGGTATAGATTGCTTGAGATTTGATGTTTGCTCATTATAAATTGTTTCCTGTGTTCCCCAATATTGTTCTTAGTGTTCTTTGCTTTCTTTAATATCCCTAGTTTGTGTGTTGGCGCAGAACACAAATATGAAATAGTAAAACGCTTGCAAGCCAGGAAACACATCTGTGGCATGACTGGTGATGGAGTTAACGATGCTCCTGCTCTTAAGAAGGCTGACATTGGGATAGCTGTTGCTGATGCAACTGATGCAGCGTGTAGTGCTTCTGACATTGTCCTTACTGAACCTGGACTTAGTGTCATCATCAGTGCTGTCTTGACCAGTCGTGCCATTTTCCAGAGGATGAAAAATTACACCGTAAGTTCTCATTGGCCCTGATGTCTGTTTAATTTCCTCAGTTTGATATCATGAATCCTATTGTCTCTTAGTGATAGCATTGGCAGTGATATCATAAATTTGTCATGTAGTCTGCCAGTGCTTTATAGGCAGGATGTGGTTACTTCTTCTGAATGTGCTTATTTTTGTCTTTTTCTTTGGCAGATTTATGCAGTTTCTATAACAATCCGTATTGTGGTAATTAGAAGCTTTTTATTTCTTTCTAATTGTTTTGTCTCTCCCATCTCTTGTTTTTCTCTTTGAGGTTAAGGTTGTTGAGATGGATATTATTAAATGTCTAAATTTACTGCATGCTATCCTTATATCACAGCTGGGATTCATGCTGCTGGCCCTCATTTGGAAATTTGACTTTCCACCATTCATGGTGCTTATCATTGCGATCCTCAATGATGGTCAGTTCTCCCATTCTAACCAAAACTTCTTTTTTGTCTCTTTTGTTTACTAAGTCTTATTGGATGTGTACAAAAACCTTGGCAAGTCGAAAACTTAACAAAACAATGATCAGTTTTCATCTTAGCTCCCCTGGGAAAGTGAGTTCTATGATTCCTCCAGCTGTTAATTTATGCTCCATTTTTAAGTTGTTATAGGTTTATTAAATGCAATATTTCCTGCAAGCATTCCTAAACCTTAATGTTGATTGTTGTTGCTGATATTCTTTCTTGTTGCTTTATACTGGTATCAGCTTACTGTGGCTCTTCTTCTTAACTGACTATTGTCATCAAATTTCAGGTACCATTATGACGATATCCAAGGACAGGGTCAAACCATCACCTCTACCAGACAGCTGGAAGCTGGCAGAAATTTTTACCACTGGAATTGTTCTTGGTAGTTACTTGGCAGTGATGACAGTTATATTCTTTTGGGCTGCATACAAAACAGACTTCTTTCCGGTATGAGACCTGCCTTAGGATTGGAAGATTTTCTATAGTTTGAACTATGCATTTAATTGTTTGTAAAAACCATCTCAGAAATTCACTCTGGTCTATAATGTTATTAATTTGGTAACCCCACTGTTCCTGTCTATGGTTCAAAGCATAGGAGGTTTATTTGGTGTTGACTGAAATATAATAGAAGTTCTGGTGATGGTGGTAATGATTTTATTTTTGGCTGTTTATTTTGTTGTTGTTGCTGTTTATTCTCCCATTTTGGTTCAGCACTTCATACGTGAGTGCCAATATTTGATGGCTGATATTGACATTTTTTCATTTCTTAATTTTCTATTTGTGGCTTGCTGGAAATTGAGACGTAGCAAATACATTTTTAACATGTTTGTTGCTTTGGATAATCATTTGATTTTTTTCCCTAGTGTTTGTCTATTGTGTATATATGTATTTATATTGCCATTCTTTTGGGGTGGGGAGCAGTGGGGACTGCATGTTGTCATGAAATTGTGATGAATTACACAGTTGATTGATTGTTTTAACTTGCCAGCGTACATTTGGGGTGCCAACTCTTGAGAAAACAGCTCATGATGACTACAGAAAGCTTGCCTCAGCTGTGTATTTGCAAGTGAGCATAATAAGTCAGGCCCTAATATTTGTAACACGATCTAGAAGTTGGTCTTACGTTGAGCGTCCAGGTTTACTACTAGTGGTGGCTTTTGTGGTAGCTCAGTTGGTGAGTCAATTGTCCGTGTTCTTCAATTTCTCTGGTCTTTCTTGTAGGTAGCAGGGAAAACTTATCATTCTTTTTGACTATGAATAGATTGCTACTCTAATTGCGGTCTATGCAAATTGGAGTTTTGCTGCAATTGAAGGGATTGGTTGGGGTTGGGCTGGTGTGATCTGGCTCTATAACATAATCTTCTACATCCCACTTGATTTCATCAAGTTCTTCATTTGCTATGCATTGAGCGGCAGGGCCTGGGATCTTGTTATTGAGCAGAGGGTATGTATGCCACTGATTTGTTGGATATTTGACATTTTCTACCCCCTCCATCGTCATTATCATCTTCTTCGTCATATTGGGTCCTCTGATGGATTTCTTTTTGATGCAGATTGCATTCACAAGGCAAAAAGATTTTGGAAAAGAGCAACGTGAGCTTCAATGGGCACACGCGCAGAGAACATTGCATGGTTTGCAGGCACCTGATACCAAGATGTTTACTGAGCGGACCCATTTCACAGAGCTCAATCAAATGGCCGAGGAAGCCAAAAGGAGAGCTGAAATTGCTAGGTAAGCAATTCTTCATCTCAGCTTTTTTTCTTGCAATATTCCTTTGTTTATTAATTGAGTTTCTTAGCATCATTTTTTCTTTCTGGAACAATATAAGTGGACTGGGGACCTTATTTATGTTATCTCCTCCAAATTGAAGATTTAGCTGCAAAATGTTTCTTGAGTTCCATTCCTTTTGATGTAGTAACTATCCTATGTGTGCACATGAAGTATTCTACTTCTAGACTAGTTTAAGAGACATTCCATGTCCTCGCCTTGCAAACCTGGGATGTTCCATGTGCTTGTTGCGATTGCCTTCTTTATCTCAACCATAAAAATGGATTTGTTTTAATTTTCTGCGTCTTCCAGGCTGAGAGAACTCCACACACTCAAAGGTCATGTTGAATCAGTGGTGAGATTGAAGAATCTCGACATAGACACAATTCAGCAAGCTTATACAGTCTAAGGAAATCATCCAAAGGCATACTCATATACGTAATGACAGCATATACGTGCACTGAGAGGCAAAATCGGCATGTTCTTGGTTGCCCATCTTGTGAGGCGTAAAGATCATATTTCGGGCTGATAAAGAGTGCTGCAGTTAGCCTTATCTATGTATTTTTTACTGTTTCCCCTTAAATCACCAATTTATGCCTGCAATAAGAAAGCTTATTGTTTATGGCATTGTATGTTTATATTAGTAAAGCCTTGTGGCCTTTTCGTGTTTTCTTCTGTGGTATTAAAAACAAACTCCGATAGTATTAATCAAAAACCAAAATGAACTTTTCGGCACTTATTTGCAAGTGGTCTTGTTAAGATGCAATGGTGTGTGATAGAGATGTGGATATAATACGGTATTCTCACCAAGTTTGGACCTTGCTTTAAGGGTTAAACGGTTCAGCATGAGTTGTAGTGACGTTGCTCTTGCTCACAGATGAAATTGACAATTTAAAACATTTATGATGACATTATACGAAAAAATATAAAAAATATAGAGAAATATAAAAGTAATATGATTTAAAATTTTAATAAAAATTATGTGTTTAAAAATATTTATTTTATTTTTCGTATCCACATGAATACGTAATTTTTGTGTAAAATATTTATTACATAATTTTTTCATGTAAAATATGTCAGAAATTGTGGATGTTTCACAAATACACGAATAGATGAAATGCAACTGACTCTTGACATAATGCATGAGACAGTAGAGCCCTTGAAATGCATGGAAACGTTGGTTACCAATTTGAACCAAAAAACAGAGTTGGTTTCTTCCACTTTCCTTTTCAAACTGAGTCTCATGACATCTGCAGCTATGTTTTCATTTCTCAACATTACATCTCACATGTGGGTCTTGCCAAAGCAAAGATTAAACTGTTCGGCTATCCATAATTCTACTCCCACCATTGAAACACAACACTTCGATGTCACTATTTGTTTCATCGTAAGCCCCAAAAAGCTATTGAAGAATCTTTTTCATACACTTTATCGGGTTCAGTCAAGCCCAACTACCCAAGATCCTGACGCTGATTCGCTTGACCTACTACTGGTCATGTGCTGAGGCAATTGGTTTTCAATCTCAGTTGGATTTCGCTTATTTGGTCGTCATTCCTGACATCACAACTCCAGTTCCAAACCAGTTGGTTTTCCTCTTTCGTGTAAAGTAAATGCAATACCTAAAGGTCAAAAGATTTCTAATCACTCAAGATTGTACTCTATGTTATAGTATAATCTAAAATAATAATCCATTTCATAAGTCTCCAACGTCTCATTTTAACTTGTAAGATCGTGTTTTGAATGGTCTTTATGATGCTTGGCATGGATATTTTATTAGCACTAAATTTATCTTTCTCCAACCAACTTTCATTTTCCTTTTTCCAAATTTTTTTTAAGGATAAACGAAGTGAAGAAATCGAAATGGTTCCATGCAACATGCTTCCCTTATGCATTCAGAGAAAGGCCTCAGTTTGGAGTAAGCCAAACGTATTCCTGAAGCAGATTTAAAGTTAAAACTTTTAGTTTAGGAATCTGCTTTTATAGAATATCCTTTCTATATAACAAAATGGAAAGGCAAGATGAAGGTTAATGATGCTTCCATGCTGTTTTCGTCTTTTGTTTCATAGATTTTCCTTTTCATTTGAACAATCAAAGGAGTCTAATCTTGAATCTGTCTTGTTTTATTTTCCAACCACATTAAATATCTTAACATGATTAGGATTAGGTTCATTAATTCTGGATTCTAACTCTTAACACATTTTTTTTTTGCTTATTTTGGAGTTACTACTCAATAAAACATGAGTTAAATCGTATTTTACTTGTCGCAAAATACGACATCAAAATGTAATTAACTTATTTCCTGATCATACTCTGAGGCCTACAACTGCATATTTTTGCTGGATGGTATAATGTAAAGCTACAGAAAAGGGTTTTCATATTGGCTATGATGAATGAAATCTTGTATTTATGAAGACGACTAAACATCATACTAAAGGATTATCAGATAGCTTTTTCTCTCCATTGACTTCAAGTTCAAGATCAAGGGTGTCACTGTTTCCTTTGTACTTATACCATCTTGAGCATAACAAAAAGTAGGCAAGATTTAGGACTCCTAAGCCAGCAATCATGTAATAGAAGTAATCCAATCTTCCCTTGTTGAGATCCTCTGGTAACCAATTTCCAGTGGCGGCCCCATTTGTTGTTCTGTGAACTACTAAGATCAATAAGCTACTGAAATAACTTGAACCTGCCAAGCCACAGTAGAATAGAGACCCTCCAATGCTTTTCATGTTCTCAGGGAACTGCTTGTAGTAGAATTCAACTAGGCCAATGGACGCAACTGCTTCTGTCAGTCCACCAAGGGTAAATTGAGGGATCAACAATGACGCTGACATAGATGAAATGGCGCCTTTCCTCGGTGCGACTCCTAGAGTTGGTTTCGTGAGAGCTGTAGTTCTTCGATGTTCTTCAACCATCCCCGATACGAGCATGGTGATTATGGAGAGAAAAATCCCAATGCCAACCCTTTGGAGGATTGTAATACCCCCTTCTTTTCCCCTGATTCTTCGAAGAAATGGGACAATAACTCGATCATAAACAGGTATGAAAAAGGTTAGACTAAGCATCATGAATACAACATAGCTTGCAGCTGGGATCTTGAAGTTGCTATTTCCAAGGCGTCTATCAGATTGAATGGCTTGGAAGACAGCATAGGTATGTAGTTGAACAAGGGTAACACCATAGAAGATTTGTGATGCCCATATTGGAAGCACTCTAAACAGGCATTTCACTTCTTCTACTTGCTGCATGCTGCAAAGTCTCCATGGATTAGCTGGTGATCCGTCTGGGTTTATTTGGTCTTGGGGTGTGACAATTGCTGCTTTGTCCAGGAATCTGATAAAAAAAACCTAGTAGTTTAAGAGTAAAATCCAATTCTTAACATGAATTTTTCTTATGATAGTCAATGCTGCTTACCTGAATTGATCGGTATAGGGAAGCTTGGAGTTGATGGACTTGGGAGGAATATACTTGAAAAGGGAGAGCCAAGGTTGCTCCACCGGTTTTAATTTCCTTTTCTCGATTGCTACAACTATTACTTGTGCTACACTGGCGATTGGACTACCAGTAGCTTTTACTTTGACATATATTTTTGAACCAACGAAATAGACCACACAAGCTATAAGCATCAGAATTGCTGGAATTCCAAGCCCAATAGCCCAACTCACGTTTGATTGAACGTACACAATGAGGGTTAAGGATATCATCTGCGCAAAAGTGAAGGTGAAGAAGTACCAATTGAAGAAGCTGTCGATTCCTCTCTTTCCAGCTTCTGTTTTAGGATTGAATTGATCCACCCCAAATGCCAAGTTACATGGGCGAATACCACCAGCTCCCACAATCATTAGTCCTAACCCAGTAAGCAGAAATGCCAGTTGCCCTCCCGCTGGCCCTTTGCATTCACCGCTTCCTTGTGCTGCACAGCGGTGAGGATGCAACTCTGGGATAGCTGCTGTTAGTTGTATTGCTAGCAATCCCTTCATACAAACAACAAAAGGATGGGAAAAAAAACCAAAATATTAGATGCATTTAGATGCATCAGGGTGAATCAAGATTTTAAGTACGGCTATGAAATTATTTTTGTTATGATCTTTTGGATCGATCCAACCTACAGATCAAGTCTGCAGTACAAAATTGGTAAGTTTAGTTGGATCAACAGCCTGCTATGGTTTAGCTCTTTGTTTAGCTGGATCCATATATATTTTTTTACTTTCCTTCTTGGGGTTCTCAACTGGTAATAAAGATCTCAGCATTGAAAAATAATGGGACATCTTATTACCACGAAAGAGGCAACTGTCGCAAATCCCAAAGTCTTGTAGCGACCAAAGTAAGTGTCACAGAGAAAAGCTCCGACCAGGGTTCCAAAGTTTGCGGTGCCATTGAAGACATTGATCATGGTTGCAGCTGTAATGCTTTTCAAGTTGAAGACAGTAGTGAGGTAGATCAACAAATTGGCCAAGGTACCAATGGCTCCCAGCTTCTCAAAGGTTTCATTTCCTGCCACGAATACAACTTAAAAAAAGTTAGGAAAATAAAGGAAAAAGATAGAACAGCTTGAATCAAACAAGAAGTTTTCTCCAAGTCACCAATAATAAATGGCATGGCTTTCCATCCTCTGTAGTTGATTTCTGGCTCATGATCAGCTGTGACTGTTTCCTCATGCTTCTCCATTGTTTCTTTTTCATTCTTCTCCATTCCCCTGACCTCTTTTATTATTTTTTCTCTCACCAGTTATGAATTACCTTACATTTTCTGGTTCCTCGAGGGAAAGGCTACAATCTTATCTGACATTACTTGCAGTAAAAGTGAAGTGTGAACATGGTACAGCTAAATTATTGAGACCTGAGAGGCAAAAAAATCGTGGCGTCCTTCAAAACTTTTCCGTTCACATAAATCTTGCTTCTAATTGGCATGCTAGTCAAATCGCCCTTGGCCAGCTTAGACCACAATTTAGTAGCGTTTCCACTATCAGTTGTCCACATGGCCTGGACAGAATGAGACAGCTCTGTTCAGTTTCCATCGTCAATACTTTCCATTGTCTTTTCTACCAACAAGTTTAAACAAAATTGTTTTTCTCTTCAGTGGTTATGCTTTCGAAGTTAATTAATTGAATGAAGGACAAATATTCAAAGTTCCTTTGAAATTAAAATCGTTTTCACATTTATCTGATATGCATTTATTAATCAGTCAACACAGACAGATTTTTATTTTATCTAGACAAGGAAATAGAAATTCCCTTATGCCACTTGTCTTCAATTGCCAGTGCTAGTAATCAGGGCTGACATTGAATCCTGGGGAACCACTGCCAGAAGACATTTCACCATTGTTGAGGTTAAATAATTTTTCACGGACACTGAATCAGTATTTACACCATGGTTGCATCACTCAGTACTTAAGTTTACTTTTCCTGCAATTTCTATATTATTCTGTTTTCAATGATCTAATTAGTTGACCTACTCCATTACGGTGGGCTAAAATTGGTTTCGAAGTAGCTTAATCACAAAAACACTGTAAGCAAATAAATAAACAGTTTAACTATAGTTAACTACCTATTTAAACTATAGTTAACAACCAATATAAACCATATATTTTGATTAAAAAAATCAACTCAACATGAAAGAAAAAATAACATTAAGATTTGGAATTAATTAAAAAGTAATAATTTCGTAAATATTAAATTAACGTTTTAACTTATATGACTAGTCTTTGATCTATAAAATTCATTTTTTTAAGTTGATTATAATATAACTTAAACTCTTAATCTAATTTCTTAATCTCTATGCAAAACTATTTATATTTTCTATTTGATTATGATAACTTCTTATAAATTGAATAATTTCTTTGGTTCCATGGTCTTTTTTTCATCCAAGTGATTAAAGTGACCAACATTGAACTAATGTCAATGCCAATCTAACAAAAGCTACATTTGAAGAATAAGTTTCTTTTTTCAAAAAAAAAAAAAAAGAAAAATATTGAAGCATTGACTTTAATTCAATTAAGCTAGTTTTTACTACTCTTTCTCTCCCTTTTCCTTGTTCATGGATAAAGAATAATAACTTTGCAATGCATGAATCCAAATCCCATGCAACTTAATATTGAAAGAACTAATCAATGGCAGGCTTCAGAAAAAATATCCCGTGAGAGAAAGTGACACCCAACGTTACTTCCTTTACTACCTTTTTTTTAAAGAAAAAAAAATCTAGCTACGTACGAATATATAAATATAATAATTGAATATGATTTTAAAAAAAATTGAAGATGACTTCAGAGTCATTACTAATTAAATCCGGATGGTAGGTTTTCTAACTACAAAAGATTTAATACTAGAACATGAGGCTCAACATTAAAGGAAAAGTGGTCCCTTTGTTGAAGAATGAAGCCTACGACTGGTCATCAAAGAAAACACTGATTTCTCTTCCTTTCACGTCACTCATTAATTTTCATGGACTTGGAAAAGATATGAATGATCAAAGTATCAACTACAAACATATAGCTTTTGATATCATCTTTAGGCTTTAGCATACCAAAATGATATAAAATGATGGAAAGTCGAATGATCTTCCCTTTCCAAAGGATTTAGTGCAGCAATAGGTAGATGTTTCAAACTACAGGACTTCATCAGATTGCAACTTCTCCATACCAACTTCAAGGGTATTGATAATGCTACCACTTTCTTTGTACTTGTACCAATTTGCACATATTATAAAATATCCTAAATTCAGGACTTCCAATGCAGCAACCAAGTAATAAAAGTAATCCAACTTCCCCTTGTTAAGGTCTTCAGGCAGCCAGTCCCCTGTCGGAGCCATTTCCGTGATCTTATGAACTACTGATATCAAGAAACTGCTCAAATAATTAGAGAGTGCAAGGCCAATAAAAGTGAAAGACCCGGCTATACTTCTCATGTTTTCAGGAAACTGTTTGTAGTAGAATTCGACTAGGGCAATCATTGTGAATGCTTCAGAAAATCCTGTTAAAGTTAGCTGAGGAATTAACCACATCGTTGAGAGAGAAGAAATTGCTCCTCTCCTTGAGTCTATGCCAATTGGGTTACTAAGACCAAAGGCTCTTCTTCTGTCTTCAACTATGGCGGATATAAGCATGGTGACTATGGCAAGAAACATGCCAATGCCCATCTTTTGTAGAAGTGTGATTCCTCCTTCCTTTTTGGTGTACCTTTGAAGCCATGGAACTATTATACGGTCGTAGATGGGCATCCAGATTGTAATGCCAATCATGCTGAAGATACCGAATGATGCGGCGGGAATGTTGAAACCTGTATTGCCAAGACGTCTGTTAGATTGAAGGGCTTGGAAGACTACATATGTTTGCTGTTGGACCAAGGCCACATTGTATATGATTCCTGCTGCCCATATGGGAACAACTCTGATCAAGCACTTTATTTCTTCTACTTTCTGCAAACTGCAAAGTTTCCATGGATTGGTTGCTGATCCATCTAAGTTGATTTTATCCTCAGGGGTCAATATTGCGGCTTTGTTTAGAAACTTGTTTAACACAAAAAAAAAAAAAAACAAATAAACAGAGAACTTAGATCTTGCCTCTTACTGATATTATATGCTGTGTTAACTAATAGAAACTTGTCATTATGAACGGCATTTTGATGCCAAAAGTAATTTTTGGTTCTTTCTTGGTCAGCTAATGGCAAAATCCAATGTTAGATGGCTGTAGCATAGGTTGTTGCTTGACTCAATTTTAATCCGAGTACTAAATTTGTGTAATAGTTTTAAAATTGATTGTACACGTGTTATCCCCAATTTTTTTGCTGAGGACCGGTCATCTTATCGAATATCGACAGTAGACCTGTTCAAAGGCCTGATTACTTGTCCGAACCAATTTAACAGTCTAGACAAATTTAAAGCATATTAGCGTTCTGTCTAAATTTGATCCGAATCTGGCCCGTCCATGGATAAGTCTCATTGACAGGTAGGAAAAGTATATGAAAACAGAACAGAAATCAGTAGAGCCAAAGTTCTGTGTTGCTTCCATGCTAGTGACAGAAAGTAGTGAGCATTATCATTTTATAGGTTGAAGAAGAAACAAGAAGGTTCTGCCAATAATGTTCAGATAGACAAAATAAAGACTTGTATGTGGAAGATTTGAGCATTGGTTAAAATGGGGGATGTGAAAGAAAGGAAAATATACAAATAAAACATATTGAAGTGAAAAGTATCTAGTATGACAAAGTATGTGAATGTGATTCTGTTGACCCTTGAGTTTAACATCGTTAAATGAAAACTATGAAGAAAGGGGACAATTTTTAACGTTGACAGGGAGTCAATATTTTAATAAAGCATGACCGAGCAATATCACATGTCACACGATTTTTATGAAGGAAAATGGGGTTTGCAAAATTTGAATGGTAGTGCAAGAAGGGGAAATATTACTTGAATTGATCAGAGTAAGAAAGCTTGGAGTTGATAGAATTTATGGGAATATGGTTAAAAAGGGAGATCCTGTTGGGAATATTGACTCAAATATCATAAGAGATTTGTTTGAGATTTATTAGAGATTTGTTAGATATTACTGGATGGACAAGAAAACTTACAAAAGAAGAATTCTAAGAAAAAGATAATTCTTAATAGGTAAGTTTGATTTGCAAGAGAAGAATTCTAAAAGGAAAAAGATTCTTAATAGGCAAGTTTGACTTACAAGAGAAGAATTCTAAGAGGAGAAAGATTCTTAATAGGTAATTTTGTATGGTTATAAATAGGTGAAATCTCTACATGGTTAGGTATGAGAAAAAGATGTAAGAGACTTGTAAGATTTTGTGAGATAGACAACCAATAGAAGTATTGGGGCTTTACGTCTTATGATGTGTATGTTAGTTTATGAGTGGACTAGAGAAGACTGAGATGGTCCACATAGGTATGATGTATATGATATGTGTTTGGTTATGTTGAAAGGGTGCACAAGGGTTTGGGTTTGTGTTTGTTTGGGTTAAGAATACTTCATAGGACTAGAGGAGATTGAAAATGTCTTATGAGTATTGATTGTTGAGTGAGGTTGATGATTTGATGTAAGTTTGTAATTCTCTACAACTAGTGGATTTTGTTTCTTATCCGTAGATGTAGGTCAGTTAGATCGAATCACGTTAAATTATTGTCTCTTATGTGTTTGATTTATTGTTTGATTTTGCTTCCGATGGTGTGATTGGATTGGAAGCTTTTAGCTTAACAAATGGTATCAGAGCTGTGGTATTCCCTAATAAGTGGTATCAAAGCTGAATGTTTGAAACGTGAGAAGAGTTGAAGATTCAAGATGTGGAAAGGGCCGAAGGTTCGAGACGTGGAAGAGCTGAAAGTTCGAGATGTGGGAAGAGCTAAAGGTTTAAGATGTGAGAAGTGCATGGTTTGAGACATGAGAAGAAGCAAGTCCAGAATAGCTCGATTTAAGATAAGAGTTCGAGTTTAAGTTTTGAAGATTGATGATCGGTTTGTATGAAACGTGAAGACACAAGAGAAGAAAAGATGATTGTGAGACTTCCATTACAGGTGGAGCCAAACATGTCTAGGCATGAAGACAGATGATTTTGATGGAATTTGAGTCAAGATGAAGTATGTTGGAATATTGCTCAAATATCATTAAGAGATTTGTTTGAAGATTTGTTAGAGATTTGTTTGACGTTTGTTTAAATAGTTACTGGATGGACAAGAGACTTGCCCAAAAAGAAGAATTCTAGGAGAAAGATGATTCTTATATAGGTTAGTTTGACGTAAAGATAAGAATGCTAAAGGAAAGGGATTCTTACATAGGCAAGTTTGACTTACAGGAGAAGAATTCTAAGAGGAGAAAGATTCCTAATAGGCAAGTTTGTATGGTTATAAATAGGTGAAGTCTCTACATGGTTAGATATGAGAAAAAGATGTAAGAGAGTTGT